TCTCAGAGAAGCATCTAAATTAAGAACAGAAGGTGCAATGGACCAGCCACACACCAGCCAGCGGGAAGCAGGGGGCTGGAGCTCAGGGCGCACTGACCCCTGCCGCAGCCCAGGCCCGCTCCCTGCCGCATGGAGGCGCCTATGACATTTTGCAGAGCCGGAAGTAAGCTGGGCAGACAGGCAGGTGCGCTCTAAACGGGCACGTGCTGGAACCTCAGCCTCCCGCCCTCTCTGCGCTAAGAGGCAGGAGACGCCCATTGACTCCCTCTTCCCTCCTCCCGCCCCGGGAGGCTAATCGCAACTGATATTCAGTCAGAGCGCGAGGACCTGCGCCACAGGTGCTCGACCCGCCACTCCGGTCCAAGCGCGTGCACAATTCCCCTCCCGTCCCCCCCACCTCCACCTGACCGCACCGTGACCCAGCTCCCCAATCCGCGCCTGCGCACTGCCTGCTGCTCACGTTGTCTTTCTCGAACATGCTTAAACGCCGCTCCCCCTTCCCCCCCGAAGGAAGTTTCGACGCCTTCGCATGTTTGTCCATGGCTTCCGCCCTGGCGTGTGGCGTCCCGCCCCTCGGTGCCTTCCCCCAACCGCCACTCAACGGCCACTAGAAGTTCCAGCTTCGCGCTGCACAGCCCTCGCTCAATCAGCAGCGCCAGGGTGAGGCTTTCCCGCACGTGCCGTGATGTCGTCATTGGCTGCGGACGGCAGAGCGTCACTGGTTGTGAGACGGCAGGAGAGGAAGGCGGAAGTAAGCGAGGTAGCTGCGCGCGGTCCGGGCGGGAGGAGGCGCGGCGCCTTTTCGGAGCGTCGGTTCCGCGCGGGCTGGGGCGGGCGATGCCTCCGCCCTGGATGTCCCGAGCGGGGGAGGGAAGCTGAAATACAGCGACGCGCCCTTTCCCGCTGGGGGTAACGTGCTTAACGCCCCTGCCCCCGATCTCTTGGGTGGCCCCGGCTGGAGTCACCGGCTGTCAGCCTCGCTGCCCCGCGTGTGGGCTGGGCCTGGGGTTCCGGCCGGGATTGGATCCAGGCGGCAGCCCCGGCCGGGATAACGGCTCCTGCTTCCAGGAAACCGTCGCCGTGCTCAGTCCCGCGGCCCGGTTAACCGGATCTATTGGGGGCGGAGCTCCTGTGTGTGACACTGGCCACAACAGTGCTGCGCCGCCATCTCGCTCCCTGGGACGCGGGTCCCCTGGGGGGTTAGTTTCTTAGCTGGTGGTTAAAGCGTCTTTTCAGCGCTCTGTGGGTGTCAGTGAAACAGACATTAAACTCCTTGAGAGATTGACAGTCTTAACCCTAGGATAGATCATATCGGGATATCTCCGTGATGCTTAAACTGGGCTAGTTTGAGACATAGCAGGTCCTGACTTGGTGAGGAGCATATGTCACTTCAAGGAAACCGGACTTTGACTTACATTGTTAAATACTACATTAAAGTGAGCATAGGGAGCAGCTTTCATTTTTAATATACTTAAAATGAATAAAGCATGTAGGAAAAATGCCCAAGGTAAAATGTAGTCTGCTAAGTACACTTTTTAACGGTGTGTCATCTAGTAGTACAGAAAGTTAATGTTTCAGGAAAATAAATATACTACCACTGAATAGATTGCTTCTGAACTTACCATATGTTTAGAGAGTGCTTCTAGGAATTTTGGTCAGTTAGATCCTTCTAGTGAAAGATTCTGTCCTTTTCCAAGGAAGTGGCCCTTTTAGTTCTTCCTCACTTACTTTAAGGAATGAGCCACTCTTAGAACAACACACCTTTGGAGGGTCTGTCGTCTGTTTGGCTGTCCTTCCTTAAATTCAGCTGGACATTCAGTGGCACTGGTGGAAGGCCCAGTAAGTTGACATGACTGGGATAAAGCGGCCATTCCCTACTGCTTTACTGGGTATATCTTCACTGCAGAGTGAGCATCACCACTGCAAAGCTATGCCTAAATTACCATGTCACTGTTTCTGTACTTGCCTTTGTGTGTCAGCAGCATATGCCATTGTTCTTTGTAACAAGGTGCTCTAGAATTCTTTCCCAGTCAGTTGTGGGAAAACTTGTCTATCCTTCAAGAGGAACTGTGGGAAAGCATTGGATAATTATCAGCACTAGTGTGATTTTGCTTGTCCTCACTCTAAAGTGTATGGGTTCCTGCCAGAGTTAAATCAGAACTTGGACTCTAACCCAGCTGTGCTAGCTAGCTGGGGAAGAAAGCACCTCCAAACTCAAGTAAAAAGTTCTTGTGTATGAACCATAAGAGCACTGGGTTAAAACTTGGGTAATAGCAAGGGTTAACTCTGGGGTGAATATATTGGGGTATATGCTGGGACAGAGGGCTGAAGAAAGAAGAAAAGAGCAGAAGTTTTTCTTGGCAAGCACATATATGAGAGTGAACAAAAGTACCTTTAAACAAGGTGGGAGGTGTTTACAGGCTACTTGCTGCCTTTGCCCTAAATTTTGTTTACAGAGGAGTGGGGAGAAAATAACTTCCTAAACATCTAGAGAAAAGCCTGGAAGCACAAATAAACTTGCATCAATTCCTTACTCTCTTCTTATATGAGTGAGGAATTTTTATTGGATATCCTCCCTTCTGGCCATGCATAATACGTGAATTTCCCATACTAGTTTCAAGTACTAAAAGTCTGGACTTCTAGGAGCCATCTATCTGAAACTATTCTCCAGACATGAAAGAACCCTCTATACAAGCTAAAGTGGACTTTTTACTGTTTAAAGTACGTGCAGAAAATGGTTCAGCCTGGTAACTTTTATTGCCTGGCTCTCTAAGGGAAAAATATAATGAAGTTAATATACAATATAGTAAACTTCTATCACCTGTGTGTGTGTTTCCTGTTGATTTACTAATTGTAAGTACAGTTCTCAAACAATATATGTAAAACAGTGTATGGCAATATTTTTGTATGTTTAATTTTTATAATTAATAAATATTTTAAAATCTGTCATCCCTTTTCCCAAACAAAATCAAATGTTTGCCACATTTCCCTCTGATTTAGTTAGAACTATAGGAATTGCCATATTGGATTAGACTAATTGTCCATCTAGTCCAGTATCCTGTCTCTGAGAGTGGCCAGCAGCAGATCCCTAAGGGGGGGGCGGGGAGGGGAGCCAGTACCCCCAGTAAGCAGATGTGGAATAATCGGTCCCCATGAAAGTCTCATCCTAATAGCAAAAGAGCAGTTTAAAACATGAACCATGAGATTTTAATCCCTTCTAGAACTGTTTGCAATAATTGTTATAACTCGGTATTCTTGTTACTAAATGTTTGGCCTTAAGAAAGATTGATAAGAGTCAATATCCCATGACAGTGAGTTCCACGATCTAATTATCAGTTTTGAATTTGCCAGCTTTCATTTTCCGGAATGTCTCCTTTTGGTAGTGGGGTCTTTCTCACGTAGCTCCTAGTTAGTAGTTTCTCACCACTACTAATTATTTTATATATTTTTATCAGACCCACTTTTGTTCATTTCCTTGCTAAAGGAAATTATCTTAATCTTTTCAATGTCTTCATAGGAGAGTTTTTCTATGCCTCTGATTATAGAGTTTAAGGCCAGAATGGACCACCAGATTGTATTAATAATCTAGTCTGACCTGCACATCACAGGGCACTAAACCCAATCCACTTATCCTTGCATTGAGCCCAGTAACCAAGATTAGACTAAAATATTACGGAATCCTGTAAGGTCTGTTAGTTCGAATATTTCCTTCCAATGTACATTCCGTTCTTCTTGTCAACATTGAAATTCATCTACCATCATGTTGCCCATTTACCTAGTATGGTGAAGTCCCTCTGAAGTTCCTCAGTCATCTCTGGATTTTAACTCTGTGTTATCTGCAGACTTTGCTTTCTCACTCCTTATTCCCCCTTTTCCACATAATTAATAAATGTTAACCAACACTGGACCTAATATGGAAACTGGATAAACTATTGACATGATGAAAATTGGCCATTTGTCTACTTTGTCTTTTGTCTTGGTCATTTTTCATCCATGGCAATACTATTCTTCTTAGTCCATGACTAGTTTCTTTAGTAGCATCTTGTGAGAGACCTTGTCAAAGGCCTTCTGAAAGCCTAATTAAAATACTCCTATTTTTGTAGCACTTAGGGAAAATGTGGGTGGTGTGGGGGATGGTAAGAAGATACTTAGTAATGGGAGTCTTGAGGCTCAGAAGAGTGCTTTTTTAATTTCTTCTTGTGATGAGCCTACTAAGAGAGAGATTGTGTGCTTGGATTTGAACTGTTGGATTAAAAAACATCAGATTTTTTTTAAGCATGTGGTGTTTAGAACTTAAAATAGGCACAAGATGTATCTAAACCAGGGGTCGGCAACCTTTCAGATGTGGTGTGCCGAAACTTCATTTATTCACTCTGATTTAAGGTTTCGCGTGCCAGTCATACATTTTAATGTTTTTAGAAGGTCTCTTTCTATAAGTCTATAATATATAGACTATTGTTGTATGTAAAGTAAATAAGGCTTTTAAAATGTTTAAGAAGCTTCATTTAAAATTAAAGTAAAATGCAGAGCCCCCCAGACCGGTGGCCAGGACCCAGGCAGTATGAGTGCCACTGAAAATCAGCTCGCGTGCCGCCTTCGGCACCTGTGCCATAGATTGCCTACCCCTGATCTAAACAAATATCACAAGTGAATCTATATGTCTTCAGGTAAAACCTGAATGTATGTGGGTCACTTGTGGGTAGACATTTGGATATTTACTACTTCATTTCCCGTCATACTGCTCATTTTTTATAGTTCAGTGCACTCTTCAATACAAGTTTCAGCACTTTCATTGTTAATTTAAACTTAATTGGATTTATACTTCTGCTTTGGAATACTTTCATTTTTCTGTTTATAGTGGTTTGGAAGCTGTTTGTGCATAGAATTTGTCATTCCCTTCCCTCACTGTGGAGCATGTAAATCCTGCAAGAGACTTATTTTCTCAAAGGAACTTCAGGGCCTATGGTTTCACCCCTTGTAAACAATGCTTCAAGCAGAAATCCAGGAGGTAAGCAGGAGATGTTGAAATGGATGGTTGCTCTTCTCTTTATTCTCCTTTCTTCACACCTTACAGAAGAAAGATCTCATTCAGGAGTTCTATTCTGAAGTGTGAGAAGATGATGCAAATACACTCTTTCTTTTTTCTCCTTCTACAACAGGGGTGGGTAAACTACGGCCCGTGGGACCATCCTGCCCAGCCCCCGAGCTCCTGGCCCGGGAGGCTATCCCCCGGCCTCTCCCCTGCTGTCCCCCCTCGCCCGCAGCCTCAGCTTGCTCACTCCGCCACTGACGCAGCTCTGGGCGGTGGGGCTGTGAGCTCCTGGGGCAGCGCAGCTGCAGAGCCCGGCCTGACCGGTTGCTCTGTGCTGTGTGGTGACAGCGGCAGCGTGGCCCGGCTCCAGCGCCGCCAGCCACCGATGCTCCAGGCAGTGCGGTAAGGGGGCCAGGGAGCAGGGCGGGATTGGATAGAGGGAATGGAGTTCGGGGTGGTGGTCAGGGGGCGGGGGTGTGGATGGTGGTCAGGGGGAAAACGGAGGGTTGAATGGGGGAAGGGGTCCTGGGGGGGCAGCCAGGAAAGGGGGGGGGTTGGATGGGGCAGCAGGGGTTCCGGGGGCAGTCGGGGACAGGGAGCGGGGGTGTGTGGATGGGGCAGGGGTCCCAGAAGGGACATCAGGGAACAGGGGGGTTGGATGGGGCAGGAGTCCCGGGGGGGGGGGCAGGTAGGAGGTGGGGCCAGGACACGACCCCCTCACCTAACTGGCCCTCCATACAATTTACGAAACCCGATGCGGCCCTCAGGCCAAAAAGTTTGCAAACTCCCCCCCCCCCCCCCATCCCTTTCTACAACCTCACCATCCTGTGTTGTTCTGCCCATTTAGATTGCTCTCACATATGTGGTGGGAACTTGTATTACAGAATCTTTTGCTATTGAGGGAAGGGGCGCAGTTATTGTCCCAGAACTTGGGGTTTGCCCTCCCCCCAGATTTTTCATACATCTTGTTGGCCCCTCCCAGGGCATAATGTAATCACATATAACTTTCCTATGCTGACACAACCTTGCTGTCTCTCCCTCCCCCAATTTTTTTCTGAAATGATGCCTCTGATTATAGTATTGAATGGACTTTAGTTGGATCACCATGTTGAATACAATTGTAAACACACACTTTAGATTACAGTTTCACTAAGTAGTGACTTCCTTGTTTTATACTCTTTTTCCTGGTAATAGGAAGTACCCTTTGTTTTGTGTTCCAGATGTCACTAGCTGACCCAGTCACCACCTGTCTTTCCCCTGCAGTGCATTATATGGTTTGCAAACTTGGATTTGAGATAGAAGACAGCCATTCTGTTAATAGTATTGTGTCTGAAAATGGTGAAGTATGTTGGAGAACAATCACAGAGCTTGTGCATTACCGTGAATCAGGTCAGTGTTTGCTTTAGATCTATTGTGTGTTATGTGTCTGAAAGCAAAAACACAATGCAGTTTGAGGTAGACCTAGCATGGTTAGGACACTGTATTATAGTACAGCAACAGCTGCATCACAGGTTGTGTTACAGAATTCACTTTTAAAAAGAGCTTTAAATCTTTATTGGGGAAGGAGGGTAAACACAAAACCCCATTGAAATGGTAAAAACCAAAACATTGAATATATACTTTAAATACTATCTGATTTTTTGTTTTTGGTTTTTTTTGTTGTTTTTTTTAAATCATGGTGGCTGGATGAAAAATCAATTGGTACAGAGAGAATAAGTTTAAAAATCGCCTCTCTTGTGGATTTTCCCTCCTACCCAGATCTTATTTTTCTTTGTACCCCTCATGCAAGAAATCTAAAACACTCTGACACCTGCCCTTTGATTGTTACTCCCCGCTGTGCTGATTCCTAGAACACCAGGTATATAAAGGTAGTATTTCTCTCTAAAGCATTTTATAATACTTTAGCCACAATGGAAAATGAGCGACAAGGTGAACCTGCTGAATTTTCATTTGACAAATCTGCTGCAGCACAAATGCTGTCACTTGCTCCCAGGGATGATAGAAACGAGAGAAGTTATGTTGTCTGCCTCCGTCATATGTAGTAGTTACATATGTGAGTACAGCTTACAGGGCACACTATTTTCCCCCCATGGGGTTGGAATGCTAACTTCATCCTAAAGAGAAGAGATGATATAATGCTAAGAAAATTACATGTACTGGGCCATATCCTCAGACATTTTTCCATTGAAGTCAGTGGAGTTTCACCAACTTACATGAGCTAGGAATCTGGTCAGCAGGACCTGTAGCAGGCAACCTGTACAGCTTTGTCACTAAACTTCTATCCTGATCCCAGCATAGCTATCATTCCAGCCTTTGTTTGAGAGGCTGCCAATTATACCAACTCATATGGTGGTTTTATGATTCATTTTCTAATGTTATTTATGCAAGATATTATTACTTGTTTCTGTAGTGGAGTTGGTAGAGATGATAGGCAAGTGCATTATAAAACACTATTCTACTCGGCCTTCTGCAGTACATCTTTAACTTGTGCACCATTTATTTTTGTAACAAATATTTTGTTGAGCAACTTTATATATTGCCATGTTACATACAACTTCTCTCTTCTAGGTCACTTGGCCACTTTGCCACTTTATACTTATGGGTGAATGTACTGGCCTTCCAAAAATGATGGTCCTGTAGTTAAGGCATGGGGCTGGGAGTTCTGGGTTCTATTCCCATCTCCATGACCTTTATGAAATCACTTAAAACTAGGTTCTGCAAGCTCAGCTTCCCTTTCTACTCCTGCATTTTGCAAGCACATGATGTTTAGATACCCAAGAAATTGTCTGAGCCCATGTTAGGGAAACTCACCGTTTAAAGCTGTTGGTTTTATCTGAAAGACATAGAAGCAAAATATTAGAATATGACATTTATGATAACTGTCAAATAGGAAATCTCATTAGAGTATGTAGGAAAGAGAGAAGCAACTACCTGTATTTCAGGTTGTTAGGTAAGACAAGTATCTGGAAGTATTTTTTTCTCATATGAATGAGTTTTTCCAACTTCCATTGGAACAGGGCTTTAAAAAAATCCCTTTAGCTTGTATACCTTAAATTAAAAAAAAAAAGTTTTTACCTTTCCTTATTTAGGATAGATACTTACTCTTATTTTCCATTGTAACCTTTCCTTCATTTTCCATCTTCTACAAGTGTCCTGTTGTCCTGGCAGAATAATCTGTGTAGGGTGAGAGGGACTTTTGATTTTTAAAACATATAGCCTGATGAGAACAAGTTTCGTTCTCCATAGGATTTGAGACAGTGGACCTTTTGAAATTCGCTGTTCTGACCACCCTTTTATTTTTAATTTTAAGATCAAAATGTGGATTATATAAAAAGTGTGCAGCTGTTAGGACCTTTATGTGAATCTGTTCATTTGCATCTACAATCCCTGACCATGGAACAATTTGAAGTTCAGTACTCATTGTGGTTCCAGTGGACAAACTGTACGGAGGTACGAAAACTAATATTGGCAGTAAATATTTGAACTTATGCAGCTGTCTGAAGAGTTTGGGACCAGATTACACAAAAGTAAACAGCAAAGCAAATTACCCTCTGTAGCTTTCAGAATTTGAAACTAATTGGCATCCTATGAAGTAATAGGATAAGAACTATGCTGAAATACGCTACAATTTATCCATGTTAGCAGAATCAAAAAATCTACTAAATGTTTTTGGCCTGCGCCAACGGATGAGTAGGACTGTCTTTGCTTTTCTGAGAAGCCTAATATGTTTGTTTGCTTCTCTGTAAGGGTCCTTCTTTTGCTGAATTGTTTCTCTGTGTCAGAAATCAAAGGCTGGGTACTGCATGAACAGAGAGTTTAAATTATTCTGTAGGTGGTGATCTTGCCAACTTTTTCTGCAATCTGGTCTCATGGACAGAGAAGTCTTTATATATTTGTATATGAGTGGGGGGGGGGGATCACTGAGAAACACTTGGGAGACTTCATTTCAGCTAACCATATTTGTATGTAAAGTTTGACAGCTTTCTTCAGTTTTTATGTTAGTGCATTGATAGTGGAAAACATAACTTTTCCCCTCTCTTCTAACCTCACAGCTACTTCTTGAAGTGTTTGCTGCACTGGATAGCATGGAAGCTACAGCAATTGCACTTAGCTTAATGAAACTAACATCGTGTCTGGAGCGAGCCTTGGGTGATGTAAGTGCAAACAGTTAAGGTTGTGCTGAAGTTTTGATTTTAAGAAGCAAACATATGTGCTTGCAGATCTTACTGTAAGATATAAGCCTCATATACTGCCTTGAAATCTGGATGCCAGCTGGTAACTTCTGTTCTTGACCTAATTACAAGGTTAAAGGAGACTGACTAATTAGTTAAGGATGTTAGAACAGTAACATATTTTTTTCTGACTTAAAAGCCCCCCAACCTCTTTCTCTGTATGACCCTTGGAAGCCTGAAAATAAAATCTGTTCACTAACTGGAAACTTGTCTCCTGTGTCTCCAGGTTTCTTATTTTATAGCGTACTGTAGCGTGTTGGGCTGCTTGCAGAGTCAATTTCTGCATGAAACAGAAGTAATTTTACCCCTTTAGTTTTGCTTTTCATGCAAATTCCTTTATGGTGCTCACTAGTTTAGAACGATTTTGTTCTATCTTTTGGCCAAAGTGGCCTTTAAGAACAACGAATGATTTGCCTTTGTTGCACGGCTTTTGCCCTTGTATCCTAAAATTTAATTTCTCAGTAGTAAAAGTTCACAACTCCTGGCCTGTGTTCCTGGAATAATGTCTAGAGAAAAGATGGTCTCTGTTTGAAGAATTCTTCAATTTCTTTACTGCATCAAAAATCCAGTCTTGGCTTCCAGTATTGGAGAAATGAAAAAATTAGGCATATGATCTGATTTGTAGATGGTTAAGTGGCTCTTCATGGGACTGTGTGACTACATTTGACTCTTATAGCAGATCCTCAACAATGTCCTAATTCATGTGCCTTACGTAGCCTTTTCCAGTAAATGCCATTGGATTGTGGGCTTAAACCCACTGTTGAGGCCCCTCCGCACCCCACCCCTTTTTTTTGTACCCTACATTCTCTCCACTAAGCTTCTTGCCATGCCTCTTCCTCACCAAATTCTTGCCTTTGTAGAAATAATTTACCTCTTAATTTCTAGTTAGTGTCTGTCTATCTTCTTTCTAGTACTGGAATTAAAGTGGCACTGGAATCAGAGAAACTACCTATGTAAGATTCTATGATTTTGATGATTTGATTCATGATAGAATTTCTTATTCCAATTTGTCCTTTTTATCATCTCATGAAACTTCAAAGTAGAGGGTTTTTTTAAATGTTTTATTAGTTGAACTGAGTATGGATGTAGAAATGAAATAGTTGTATACTTGAAATATTTAAATATATATTGGGACATATCTATCTTTATTTCACAATATCCTGCTTTGATTTTTTTAGGTTTTCTTACTAATTGGTGAGGACTGTCCATTCCTTTTAAGAGATTTGCTTGCATCTCAGGAGCTTGCTGCAGTCTTTGGACAATCTGTAGTGAGTATATGGTTTTTGAAGTCAGCTCTTACTGCATGTGAGGTGCATTGTCCTTTTATAAGATGTCTAGGTTCCAAGCAAACTATCACTTAAGTTGAACAAGAGTTTGTAAATATTGTAGTATGTACACAGTTGATATACCTTTCCAAACGTTACTTAACACAACAAGTAGTCGACTGGGGGAGGGAATAGTGCAAGAATGTTAGCTAAAATTTTAATCTTAAGTGGAAATATGTTTTTATGGTGATGTACATATACTGTATTAATACTCTTATATTCTGTATAGTCTCCAACCAAAAATCTACATATGTGAAAATTAACTTCAGACATTACAGAAATTTAAACATTTTAGGTCTATGGCTTCTAGAATGCAATGTTACAAACTAGAATAGTCCAAAGCAAGTTAGAAGATGTCACATCAGAACAGCTTAGTTTTAAAAGAATTTGCCACTATGTTGTTGTGAAATGCCTTCTAAAGCTCCCAGAAGTAGTATTTTTCATAGTGATGCAGAGCAGTTGGCCAAAAAAAAGGGGATGGTATTTTTCTGGTAGTGCTTACATCATGCTAGGCTTTTTATGTGAACAGGAGAGAAGTTACAGTTTCTGCTCAAAGAACTTACACTTCTAAAAATAGATAATGGGAAAGACAGACATGAGTTATTTGATACTGCTTCAGAGGTTTAGTGTGTTTGTGTCTTTATACAGTAGTTTAAACCAATATATAACATACATTTCATAAGGATGATCTTTGGGTTTAGATAGTATGTGCAATCCAAGTTTCACAAATAAACAACCAGCAGAGGTTGAGATTTTTTTTTCTTTTGTGGATGTGAATCTGGAAAATCCAACCTGACTAAAGAAATTCCAACTCTTGGGCCAAGTTCTGCTCTGTTACATTAGTATAAATGTATTGATGGATATGAAATTATTGGGGATTTATACTCTTTAGAAAATAGAGCAAAATTTGGTCCCATTTGTTTGTTCTTCCTGATCCCGCATAGTTTGTAACTTTTGTGATAGACTGGCTGCTCCTATTTATTTATTTATTTATTTATTTATTTATTATTTACATAAAAAACTGAGTAATGTACAAACAAAGCAGGAAAAAAAACCTTCTTTTAGAGTGTGCCGTGCATCACAAGTGAATTATTTTTGTGGCTTTTGTTGTAATCCATGATCAATCAGCTTGAGGTGGCTAAGCTTAAGGACACTCCTTGACGATATTAATAATAGCTAAAATAGTCTCACAAATTTTGTAGCAGGAGAAAGGCATACAAAAGTTGAAATATATATTACCTTACATAATAATTATCCTCTATCCAAATTAGATGAACGTGCTAAGAGTATTCATTGGGTCTCCATATGGTCTAAATCTCCGTAACATTTTGTGGCATGGATTTGCTTCCCCTCAAGAAATTCCTGCAAAGTAAGTTACCAATGAAGTGTTTCCAAATGTCTCTTTTTTGCCTGTCAGGCTGCAAGCTGTAGAGGAATATTCAGCATAACCAATAGCTCTCTCTTGAAATTAAAAACTGGTATATTTTCCTCCACAGTCTTCTGGCTATTGGTTTTCTGAACACTTGTTTTTCATCAATCCACTTCCAACAGAGTATTTCAACCCTAAATGAAACTAGTGAACAGAATCTGTATTTGTGGTTGAATGGAGGCAGGGCAGAGCGCAGGGGAAACTCATGGCAGCACTTGACTATTTTATTTTTTAAAACTGTTGCTTTGTAATAACACTGCCATGGCCAATGGTTTTCCCAGCTCTGCTCCAGATATGTCTCAGTTGGCTAGTCAAGTTTCATTTTGTGTTTGGGTGAGTGAGGAATTCATTCAGGAGCTGTTTTTGCTTTGGTGTTAAACTTTGAGTTTAAAATACTTAATTGTGCTGATAGGGAAGTGAGTGAGTCAGTGCTGTTTTTGGGAAACCTGATGCCTTGTGTGTTAGAGCAGCAGTGGGAATAAGCAAGTGCAAAAGGTACGGGAATGGGGTAGATAGAAAAGCTAACAGACACAGCTATAGAGTGGGTTTTTTTAATTCCTTATGTTTTCTTTCACCTAATCAGATGTTAGGTGTTTGCATTCAGGTGAGGGGGAGAGCGGGGGGATTGGATCTGTTGTTTTAAAAAGGCAATGATCTCAAGATCTTGTGCATGGAGATTTCTTCAGAATGTCCCCGTGCCACAAACATCAGTTTTTCTGGAATATATGTACAATCTGTTTTATAACATGTTGTGGTATTTCCCCTAGATATTGCTCTATGCTGCTTATTTTAACTGCAGGATTGGGCCAGTTGCTAAAGATATACCTATTGCAAACTGAAACCATTTTAGTACATCGACCTTATATAGCCTTCACTAATTTAAAGGAGTTGGACATTTTTCCAGGCAAGTATCTAATTGTTAACAAGCTGTGACATTTTAAGATTGGCTCCTGAATTCTTTGTAAACCCAAAACTAGCATTGGAAACAATGGCTGTTCCACAGTTGTAGGATTGAGCCCTTAATTAAGACATCTGTGTGTACTGCTGTTAAATGAAGAAAGTAAATTGCAGAAATATTTTTAATACACTTAATAGAGTGTAAATAAATATATGTAAATAAATGGAAAAAGAATGTCTGAAATCTAAATTGGGCCTTTAAGCCCATGAAGTTTAAGTTTTTTTTATAAGGGTTATAGTACATGCGCTAATCTGTTGATAATGAAAGTACAATCTGTGTAATAAAGAATCTCCTACTTTACCTCTGCAAAGTTTTTAACTCTTTGCAGAGTCAGTGTTTCATTCACCCACGTGGGCTTGTGAAGGGCTTCATTCTGCACCAAACTGGAGATTCAGTCCTGGGGGAGGGCAAGGTATAGTGCTACTGCTGCCAAATCCTGGGGCTTCTGCCAGAGACGAGCATCTTTTATTTATTTTATTTATTTATTTATTTATTTATTTATTTATTTTGCTGGGATTCTCTAGAAACCTGGCTAGTAGAGGCTGCCTGAGGGGAATCTCTTGGATTCCCTAGCTATGTCCCTCCTTGGGCAACGCCTCCCACTCTGTGGGTGGCACCAGTATGCTCCAAGACCTTCAGCTTAATGGGGGTTATGGACACTTTTGTGCTACATTGACCCACTTCCAGATGGACTCTCATTCTGCTGGTGGAACCAAGACCAGGCCTCTGAAGGCAAAATCCAGCCCAACATTCAGCCCTCCTGTATTATGAAATTCTAAGCTGCTTCTGAATTTGTCCTTTGCCATATCATTGTGCTTCAGAATCTAAGCTTTCTTTTAGAAAGGAAATTATTTCTTTTGGTTACAGAGGAAAGCTTCATAATGTGAACCTAATGCAAGGCAATGCAGTGATGTCTGTGTGTCCAGGTTGCCTGACACAATGGCTTTGAGAGGCATTTATCGTGATGAGTTGTCAACTCTGAAACCTAAAAATGACAATCTGAGGAACACAGAAAAATGAAAATGTAGGGACAGCACAAAATTTAATTAATATTAAACTATCACCGGGGGTTACTATACTGACTCTTAATAAAATTAAATGAATAATAAAACCTACACTTTCTAAATTTATCTGAAGGTGATGCAGAACTTCCACCATAGTGCCACAGAACTCAGGTCAATCTTGCTGTGGAGTGCTAGTCTTGCCAATAGGCAGCAACCAGTTTTTAAAATTCATGCGTTATTTTAGTCTGTCATGTACAACTGCTCACCGGTAATGCATCTTATTATCGGTCTTCTCAATTTTTGAGCTTAAATGTTTTTAACTGTACAGCTTTATTTAGTTGACGTTAAAAGGCTTAACCAAATAACTGAATAGCTGTTAGATCTTTCTACAGATTAAGCAGAAATAATTTGTATTTTTGAATGAAGTGCTTTGAATAATTCCTCTTCAGTAAGTCTAACTCTCTACATTTCAGTATATATTGTTAATTTAAACAAATGTTTTTGCTGATTTGTAGATATTAATCATGAAGTACTTTCCATAACTGAGGAACTAGCAAAGATATCCAGTTTTGTATTAAAAACAATGTTACCATTTTGGGTTGCTGCACTAACAGCTTTCAGGCAACACAGGTAACAGAACTGCACTATTACATTTTCCTTCATTTTTTTCCCTTATTTCAAAATGATTTTTTTGCTGTAGGCATCCATTATTTATGGAATAATCTGTTAGCTTGCAAGGCTTTATGAACCAGAAGCATTAATGGCATCTAAACGTGTTAGACTAGCCTCATGCAAGTGTACAATTCATGGACCTGGCATTCAGTTTTGCTTGTATTTGCATTAAACTCTGTTTTCATTAGAATGCAGCATAAAGTCAAAATTAAATATTACACTTTTTTATGTGAAACCCTTGTATGAGAGAATAGCAGACCTCTTCAATAGACAAGTGACAGCTAGAATTCTAAACTAGACTTTGAAGTCAGCGTAAGAATTTATGACAATCACAGAAAATTGAGACCAAGAAACAGAGCATTATAACAAATTAATTGAAAAAAAAATTGAAATCTGCAAACTTTGCACGTTTGCGGATCTGTGTAATCATATGCAATGTTAGTTCTGTCTTCCCTTCCCATTATATGCTACACCAACCTGTCACATCATGTCTTTATTTAGATTATAAGCTATTTTCTTGGCAGGGTATGTCATTTATTGTATGTTTGTACAGCACCCAGCACAATTGCCCCTGATCTTGATTGGGTGCCCAGTGTACCACTGTAATACAGATTTTAACAAGTGCTTATGTACAGTTATAGCTTCCACAAAGATCAGTGTGTGTTTAAAGAAAAATACTATAATCTTACATGCATTCCTCTAATTTTGCAGGTATGCTGACTGTGTTATACTGTTACTCCCTCAGCTGGAAACTGGACTTAGGTTACTCTTCACCACAGTTAATAAGTGTCCAAATAGACTGCTAACTGCTGAGGTAGGGTTTTTTTATGATCGTGGTACCTTTATTATGATATATTACTAATAACAAGCTTCAAACATGTCCTAAAATAGTTTAATATTATACTTAAACAAGTAGCTTTTAAGTGGACAATATAGTTTGATCTTTTTACAGACTTCTGATATGCCTTTTAGAGTGTCACATGACAGCTCTCCTCCTTTGTTTACAGAGGTTTGAAAAGTACAACAGTATAGCATTGTCACTTGAATGTAATAACTTAAGAGTGGAAAACTGCTTATGCTGTTTTTACCTCTTTTCTTACCTTAAAGGGATGATTCCAATTTATAGCAACTCTGGTTTGTCATGGTAATTAGATAAAAATTCAATATGTAAGTGCAGTTGGTATCACTGCTTTTTGTTTCTGAAAATGGAATTATTACTGTGATATTTTTTTCTATTGTAGTCATCTTCTCTTTATACCACTTTCGATGAGGTAAGTTATCTGTAAAATCTTCTGGAATATTTGAACATGTGTTATTTCTTTACAGTAAAGTATTTATAGAATTCAAGCACAGAAAGATGGAATGATGTTGTTGTTGCCTTAAATATACTAAAATAAATTTAAAGATACTAATGCCTATCATACAAATGGACCTGGCTGAAGTCTTTTGAAAATAAAGATAATTCCATGAACTTTTTGAAGTTGAGAAGATTTCACAGATCTGAGGTGGCAGAGACAGAAAAATAAGGCTCACTACAACATCTATAAACTCCTGGCAGCTCCTCAGTGTACACTTCTTTGTATTTTCCTCCTGGTCCTTTATCTTCTTGGTATCCCAACTCTAAATTTCCCCCATCTTATCAATATTTATTTTCCATTAAAGTGCTCCAAAGTGTACAGAGTATTCTAAGTGTGACTGAAGCAGTGATGTACAAAGAAGGAATATTATCTCGCCAGTCCTTGGGGCTTGATACAAACAATAAACTATAATCCTTAATGAGAGATCATGACTAACATGAAATGTTTGGTATTGATCTACATTGTAACTCCATTATTGTTTTTATCGATATTTACACTCACTTTTTAGTACTAATGGTCAGTAAAGCCTTTCCCACCATGTTGCACACACATGATGATTTTTCCCCAGTTGAGGTAGAACACATTTTTTTAATTAAACTGTTGAGACTCTCTTGCCTATATTGGATGGGATTTGGTACATTTTAGGAAGGTATAGGAGGTTAATATCCAGTATTCTACTTCAAGGAAGAAGAGCTATGGAGCCACTATTTTGGTAGTGACCATACTAAAATACAGCACTTACACTGTACTTTTTTGATCCAAGATCAGCAAGTTTGTTTGGAATCAAGAGTTTCTATGAACTAGAATTCTTTCAGTCCTCTTTATTAACCCCATAAACATTGATCTAGTTCCAAAGCACAGTGGTTTTGCAGTACATAAAATCAGGAAAGTAGCTTGGTCCCAAAAGCTGCCACAGAATGGAATACAGAATCCAAAGCTGGAGAGTGCAGTATTTTGTATGTCCCTGTTACTTATTTGATGAGTAGGTGATAACTAGGTGGTAACTTAATTTCTTGTAAACAGCTTTATTTTCTGTCACTGATAAAAACAAAATATGCTCTTTTATCTGCATAGGATTACCTGTTTGAAATAAATGCAAATGTACACCGAAGCAAGCAGCCTATAATAACCCATTTCTTTCCTATTTGACTCTCCAAAAGCCAAAATATTTTGTTATCCCATATTGTCCATCACTGCTAAATAAAACAGGGGATGGAGATTTGGTGCTAGTTTAATGTTATGGATGCTTACTACTATAGTCGGTATTTTTCATTTAGCTTTATAACTTTGGGTTTGTTCAACATTAAGTTGTCTTCAATTTCAAATGCTTTTTTTCTAGATGCTAACAAAACAGCTGAATGACAAAGAGATCAATCAGCTTCCTCTAATTCTTGGAGAGCCTTCAATGGTAAGTGTATTAAGTGCTTTTTATTTAGCAATACATTTATAATTGATAGTGCTAAGAGTGTAATAGATTCTTTAGACATAAGAAGATCACATCCCCAGGAGCTTACAGTCCAGTGCCCCTGATCTGGCTTCAGTATGAAAAAGGCAAAATAATACTTGGCATATAAATAGAAGATTAACTAAAACAGCACAGAATTTTGAAGTGGAAAAGGAAACCTAACTTGAGAACATCTGTTTTTGTAGGGAGTTGGCTTTATTACCTGGCATCAAGAAACACTGCCAGCAGGAATTAATTTTTTTTTATAGAAAGGTGGCTATTTATTATGAACATCTTGACTTTATTCCTTTTAACTATTGTTTATCATATTGCCATCCAGACTACTTCATTGTTTCTGACCCTCAATTCCACTCTGCCAGAGCTATAAAGTATAGACTCATGAGTCTTTGCTTAAATTTAGTCATTTTCAGCTATTTTTGTTGATTGTGGGTTGGGGTGGTGGTGGTGGTTTTTTGTTTTGTTTTTTTTTTCTTTCACCTCTCCTCAGACCTTTCCCAAAATGGGAGTTGCCTTTTTTAAAGAAGTGGGGTTTAAGAGGTGTTCCTCTTGCCCCTGTAAGTGCTCCATTTCATATGGGTCTAAGTGCCTTTTGTGCCCCAAGAATTGCATGCTTATTAGGGTTTCTGTAGAATTGTGCTATTTACTTAGTTTTGTCCACACATGATTCCACAGGAATTCCTTTGGGATTTCTTGAACCATCAAGAGGGTCCACGTGTAAGAGATCATTTAAGCCATGGAGAGATCAACTTAAATGAGTTTCCAAGAGAAATAGCCAATCAGATACTTGCATTTTCAGTTACACTTTTATGCAGATTTTCAGAAGTGGAGGAGCTCACAGCTTTTAAGGTAGGAGCTGGTATTGTGCAAGTGGAACAATGTATAATCATTTGGATGCCAAATATGATTTTAAAACCATTTATGGGCTACACCTTTCTTAATTGTTTTTAACCCTCAGCACCTTTTTGTGGGTGCCACACTAAGCTTTAAATATTTTCTAGCATTGCTCTGTAATACTGAAATGAAACAGAGATAAACTGTCCCCAATATTGCCCTTCCTGAATTGAACCTGGTTTGTCCTTTTCACCCATCCTTGTTAATATTTTGTTTCTTCCCACTGTACTTGCACTGCTTAATTTTTTACCTAAACTGTATATATTTAATTTAAGACTATCATTTTGTCCTCTCCACCTTGCTGTTTATCTCCCTGGTAGCTCAACTCTGAATTACCTCCAGTTTATCAGTATCTTCCATTGAAGTGTGGCTGAATCAGTTATGGAGATAAAATCTGACCGAATACAACTATGAATGTGAACTTGGTACAATACAGTGAAACCCCACTATAACACGATGATTGAGGTCCAAAAAATTCGATCGCGATAAATGCGGGGTTGCGGTATAGCGAGATTTACCATTTCAAGCCGGTCAGTTTCAAGCCGGTCAATTTCTCTTGGGCAGAAAACGACTTGCGTTTGCGAACTGCCCATAACAGTAACTGAAAGGGTGCAGCTCCAGCAGCGGGGGCTCTCAGCCATGCAGCGAGAGAGGGAAACACTTGGGGAGAGTAGGGGAGACGTGCAAGGGGCAGAGGAAGAGTGAGGAGCACCTGGGGAGGAGAACGGCTCTTCTCACCAAAAGGGTATGCGGGGGTAGGGGGGAAGAGGCAGCGGGGAAGGCACAGTCCATTTTTGTTTTGTTTTTTTCTTCGGCGGTGTTCCAGC